CTAAAATCTTCAGGTGGGGGTCCAGTTGCTTCAACGTCTTCATATGAACATAAAAATAAACATTATTAATAGCTATATGTTGACCCATTGATTGCAGCGATACTATTGGCTTTGGCATTTTGTTATTGTCATAAATTCATGATTACAATTCTTCCAAAATTATCATTATCAATGGCTTCCATTTGCTCATGATATTAAATTTTCTCTTTCTCTGAGCGGAGTATAAAGTAGGTTGAACATATCAACATATCAAATCCATATTAGAACTGTCCTGACGAAGAAACTAACCCAATTCAAACTTATATACTTTCAGAATTTATATTTACTAATTCTAAGATTATAGACAGATCTGATCATTGGTCCTTACTGCTATTTAAGGAAGCACTTGCCATTAGACGCCTTAAACCTGAACTTAATCACGAAACTAAGGCATCAAAAGAACTTGTAATATTTAACTAATCGTATATCAAACTTTGGAGGAATATTTTTTCCATTTTTCCAATGTAACCTAGCATCATTCCTGATGATGACTGAATCTTAGTCGAAAGCTAGAATATTAAAATGTTTATTTTTGGAGTTAGTCCTATACCGTTGTTTTATATTTTATTAAAATACCCAGTAATCCCCATAATTTTTAGAATACAACTCCTTTATATATAACAGAATATAGTTCTGGATTTCTTTTGTTGTCGGTAAAACAACCTGGAACACAACATGTAAAACTGCAACTTCTTTTACTCGTACTGGGCGATGAAAGCGAACTGTTGCCGTTACTTTCAGAACTGTAAAACCTCTGAGGACCCGTGCAAGAGTTTGGAAAAGAACTATAGGGTCTTCATTGGCTTGACCAGAATTTCCTGTGCGCATCACGCCTTGTGACGTCATTATAATTTCACCAATTTAATGCATCACGAAACGTACTATACGCTTTACAGGATTTTTATACGATTGCGAACCCGGTTGCGTATTAAATATTGAGTTACATTTTACTGATATTTTCGGCGAAAATAGTTTGATCGTCGCTTACATGGTTGAGACCATGCACTTGTATAGTTGCCCAGCAATATAGGCTATAAAATGGAAATGTAGGCTACATTCAATACTTCATCTTTGTTTATGTTGTTACTTATTTTGTCAGTTACATATGCCATATATATTGTGTCCGTACTATACTTCAATTAAACATTTTACACTACAAAAATCTAAACAACTAATTAAGTAAATCATACACTTTTGATAAGTCCAATGCACGATATTCGAAATATATAAACAATTAACTCCTAGAAACTCGAACTTTGCATTTCACATACTTCAGCCTTCCTCCCGGTTTCCTCGGGTCAAAGCGGGTTAATTTTTAAATTCTTACCGCTGGACTGTGTTTGGGAGGGAAGCGAAAGTAGAGAGCCTACCTTGCGAGGTTGGAGATTGGGTAGCTCGGCAGCTAAACGCGATGTCCGTATTTACTTACTAATTGCTTTATGCATATACTTTCATGCATGGAGGCCTTAAACCATAGGAGCCCATCCCCGGTCTTATTGAAGTTATGTATCAGCATTACATATGAAAATATATAGCCCAGTGTTAAAGCATGCGATTTGCGGTAACAGTAAAGAAAATAATAAAGGGATGTTGCGTGCCGGAAGTATGTGTTCCATCAACTTCTACAGGTTGCTGTGACATTGACAAATTATCGACTTAAGTTTCTATAAATTTCAACAAAAGACATTCTTTCAGAAATTTCCTTTCTGATTACAAACTTGTCATCTGCAACTAATTTTTAAAATCCCAAAAATATCGCGGTTGACTGGTAAGTTAATTCATATATTTGTTTGAAATTTTCCCGGCCGGCCGATCGCTGATTTTGTAATTGTGTTTTGCAACAGCTACAATACTGGCAATACTATTTAATATTTTCCATATGATTTCAGAGAATTGTGGAGTGTGTAGTAGGAAGTAAGCGCTATTTATCATGATTCGTCACTCAGCAAGTACCGTAAACAGAAGCAGTCACCCCCCCCGGGCGTGTGCCATTTTAGATATTCCCAGGCGGACTGCTTCTGTTTACGGTGCTTGCTGAGTGACGAATATGGACTTCTGTATAGTATTCTGTGCCCTAGTCGACCTAATAACATTATAAAACTCAGATTTTTGTATTTAAACACACTGATATTGTGCTTTAAATTCCGGCACTCGTCGATGTTTCAACCCTTTATTATTTTGTTTACTGTTTATTCAACGCGCGCGTTAGCCCGCACACAGCCCGCAAATTGCATATACCAGTAAATTGCCCATATAAGTAGGACATATGTAGTGATATACTCTAATGCGCATATCAAACATAGACAAGCATTTCAAATTTAAATCATTTTTAGGTCTGAATTGATATAAACATAAATATAAAGTCCATATAAACGCATGGAGGGATATAATATATAATATAATGCAAATACTGCTATATCAAGAAATGCGATACATCGGGCCAGATCTCTCACAGCGGTCTGTAGTGCCACGAAGACTTGGTTGAAGAAATACTCATTTTGCCACCAGATATTTAGGACGAAACAACAATAATTTAGAATCGAAATATTCGTCAGAGTGAAGCGATTCTGAATTTGCTCCTACTTTGCGACTACGCATGCTCCGATTGAGATATGCCGCTTTTTCCGTCTGACCGCGCACCTATTTCGCGTCACAACATACGGATTTATTCTGTCGGATTACAAAGTTTCGAAACGATTTTGCCCCTAGCATGTTCTTCATTTTCCCGCAAATTTTGACCTTAATCAATAGTTATGAATATATTATATGTATCCATTCCTACTTTTCAGAGAAGCAATAAAAATAATCTTTAGTTTAATATACAGTTTTGTTTATTCTATACCATGCGGTGACTGCGAGAAGGAGTATTTGGGTCAGTCTAAACGCCAGTTTGGTGCACGGCTAAAAGAACATCAAAAAGCTGTTTCGACTTTAGACAAGGGAAAATCAACTTTAAGCAGAACATGTGCGTGACACCAAACACGAGATTGCGTGGGAAAACTCTAAAGTAATTACCACAAACAATCGCTATTGGTCAAAGACTATGCCTAGAAGCGTGGCATATAAATATGAGTAATCATGCATGCTTTGAATAGGGATGACGGTGCTTATTTGCCAGAGGAATACATGCGTCTCATTGGCAGGTGACGTCATCCCTCGGGTATTTAAGAAGCCACGATTGCAACTTTAGATGACCACTGATGAAGACACTAGACTGGAGTGTCGAAACGTTGGGTCTTGGTTACAATTCGACTGGGCTTTGTAACCATTTATTTAAACCAGAGTAGCGAGCGAAACATGATTAACATACCTGGTTGCAGTGAACGAACAAACTTTGAATATACAGTTTTGTGCATCATTTTGGCGATTTGCAACCATTTACCGCTGAAATTTCTTAAACCTTAACATCTACATATTCGCCATAGTGAATTATTATGCCATGAATAAAACAGACTAAACAGTGGCATTAATCAAATAAACAGCGAACCATTCATAAATACATAGTTACATTCGATAATTATGTCATGATTACTAACTTGGCCTGGGAACCTCGCTCTAATGAATTAAGGCGAAAGGCTATTAGCTCTCGATCGATGACAATGAGGCTCCCGGGCAAGGTAGGACATCGAAGGGCTGTTTTCAACTTTGCCAACAAGGTTATAAAGAACTACATGGTCTCAAACCTGGATTACGACTCCGTGTTCGTCGTTGATTTTCAAACTCCCTCTTGTGCATTTCTTTTTCCAGCGATTCCTTCTTTATGACTTTAAGTTGTTCTACATTTTGAACAACATCAGGGCTAATTTGGTCATTCCCAGCCAAGACATCAACGGATTGTTCTAAGTCTCCCAAAGGAAGAGAATCAAATGCACTTGGTATTTTTTTGAGAATTTCTGTGAATAATTTAACAGTACGCTCAATGAACAACTGATGGTTAGAGTTTCTTCGCACACACATTCGTGCAAGATAGCCTTTTAAACTAAGAATAACAAAGAATGATTTCGGCAGTTCGATAAGAAGTTTGTTGAAATACTCAGGACTATTACTATCGCATGCTCTAGCCAGCACATCCACAACAAGCTCAATCATTTCATCCGACATGTCCGTCTTCGCTAACAATGTTCGAAATGCAGGAAGACATCGTTGAGAAGCTAAATCCAGAACAATATCATCGGGTTCTGCTTTTCTCAGCTTTTCCAATGACTTGAAACCAAAATTGACGCTACCACCTGTTTTTTGTCTTCCTCTTCTGCGACCTCTTCCGCCTCTTGCATGGCCACGTGGTTGATGTGAAGCACTATCTCCGAAGGTGCGCCGATTATATCCACTCGCCATTATCGGAGTGAAAGTACACGGCTTCCACCTAAATGAAATGAAAAAAATTGGTTTAGCATTTAATTTTAACCCGTTTGTAATAATTGTAATATTTAAAGCATATTAACTAGTAGGTTCTCTGTTCGGAGTATCCCCGAGTTTTTGGGTACTGGTGCAATCGGAAACAGAAACAATGATGTAATTCTTGGCATGGCTGTAGTCGTTTGTACAATGCTAAAAACGTAAGAAAATATCGATACATGCATGTACAACGTATTTATCTTGCCGCACGCAAGAAGTATTATTCTATAGGGAAGTGTGTACACTCGATTACACATATTTTCAGAACAATACTTTAAATATATCCTGGGACGGAAAATGGGGTAGCCTGCAGGAGCGTTTGCAGATTGAGAGGATTTCAACTACCTGATCGTGAAAAAGACAAGCGAAACGTCGGCGTTTCGAACGCAGGCCCTTCAAATGGCAGTTAGCAGAGGAATTAAGCTAGTCGAGGAAGGGGAGTAATAGAGCAAGTACCAGACTTAGGGCCTTCGCTCGAAACGTTGAAGCCAGGGCCGTAGCGATGGGGGGGGGGGAGGTATTGCGGGGTGGTAAACCCCCTCCCCAACGTTTTTATAATTAACATATTCGGAAAGTCTGGTTGGCCATTCGGAAAATTACGGCAAAAATAGTATAACAAATTTTTAGTGTGAAACAGAGAAAATATAATATAATTGTATTTACAGTATAAACTGATTTACGAAATCATGGCATTTACATGGACAACATTTAACAAAGGGGGGCTGGAGGGGGATGCAGGATGCAGCCCTCCCAATAATTTGCTAATAATCAATCTTTTTTCAAAATCAAGCAGACCTTTATCATTTAAATAATAGGCCTATATACCTTTAAAATACCGACAATTGATTAATTTTAAGCGGCTACATCATCCATGACAAACTGCGAAGAATCATACTACTTTCCTGCAACTTCTCCAATATATAGTTCATTAAATACGCCTTCGGCCAATTAGTACTACTAAATTGTAAGCAAATTGCAAATTTCGACATACTATTGCGCTGTTTTCTGACCATCAGAATTCTGTCAAAATTTCCCCAAAGTCCAGCAAAGTCCAGCAAAATTTCCCCAAAATCCCCAAAGTCTATGCTACAATCTTGGACAAAATCCTTGAGACCATTCCGGCTAGTATTACAAAGTAGTTGAACATTGACAAAACAAACTTTGTCCCCCTCTCCCTTCGAATTACTAGATCGACGCTCTACCAACTGAGCTACACGGTCAGACGGATTTAAGACTGGAAATTATGAAATATATATACTCGTTTATATTAATTCAGCATCGAACAATACTAGTTCTGCAAGTGTTATGTCAATTGACCATTTAAATTCATAATCCCTTTTCGTTTTCTTCAGGTCCCAAATGAATTTCAATAGCGCTGTTTTGTTTGCATAGTCTTTGTTTTAAATGATAGGGTATGGTTGTAAAACCTCGTTTTGAATTCCGATTCCGCCATGCCGACGTAAACCTTAGGGTCGTCGTCTTTTTCTGGTACAAAGACTTTCGCTTGATATATATATATATATATATAGGACGAATTTCAACAGAAAACCAGTCTCAAACTTCAAATCGTATATACATGTATATATATATATATGTATATATATATATATATATATATATATATATATATATATATATATATATATATATATATATATATATATATATATATATATATATATATGTAAAATTATCTATATCTTATAATTAAATATCGCTACTTCGAGTTTGACGTCTTTTCTAGACGATCATTATGGGCGCAAATGTCGCTTATTTCTGGCGTTGTGTTACGTGTATATTTTGTCCTGTTGCCATGGCCAGAAATGGAGGACATCAAGCGATTGGGCGTGCGGGCTCATGTTTTCTTGATAATTCAATGCACTATACAGATCAGTGGTTCAGTTTTGGAAAAATGGCTGTTTATTTTTACTAGTAAGCTCAGTGAGTTTTACCGAGAACTAAATAATCTGAGCACGGCAGATTTATAAATTGAAAATAAGAAGAGATAAGCTAATGAATGGCTTTCAGCACATAATTTCCATTGCAAACAAGTATACATAGGGCGCAAAGGCGGAATATCAGACATTGCAAATACAACCAGATATATAGAAAACAAGCAAAATTATAAAATATAACAAACTTTACGCCAACCGAGTCTTGATCGATGCTCAAATTTCAAAAGTCTACCAATACTCAATAGTTATAAATGTTTTGAAGTCGGCAAATCAAAATTATTACGAAATCCCGCGAATTTTAGAATGTTTACGAGACTACAGCCTATATTGACAGCGGTTAAAACCATTGTAACGCAGCAACAGCTTTATAAAAGCAATGGCGGACAACAAATATAACTCTTGGTGCGAAATTTGTGATATTTTTGTTAAAAATAT